GACAGAATCCACACAGGATGAAGCCTTGAGAACCTAATGCTCAATTCTGAATGTTACACCTATTTCTGGAAAAAAAAAAAAAATCCAATGTAGCTTTTTGGTGGGAGATGGTAGGGTTATGTTGCTTGAACACGTGGTTTCTATGAAAGGGCAGAGGCTTAGGGGCATGAAGGGAATCAACAAACTAACTGTCCTAGGATCAGCCTGGAAAATAAAAACAATATAAATCCAAACTACCACGCGTCGATTTGCAACCAAGACAGTCAGAAGTGGCTGTAAGTCCACAGGAATAGGGCCTCAACTCCCAACCTGCAGAGAGCATTCCATCATCCTCCCTCACCTAAGACTCTTGGGTTTCAAATGGCCTCTTTGTGATGCAAGACAGAAAACCCACAAGTGCCTGCCTTTCCCCATGGCATCCCAAGTTAGTCTGGACGATCAAGACTCCAACATTCATAAACACTGTCAAAATCTGAACTAGCAGCTTTGATGAGGGCTGGGGGTGGGGTGGAAATCCACCAATGTCACTAAGTACTTCCACACTCAGAAACAACTCAGTGAGGGCTAAAAAACTTGGACTCAAGGCATTCTCCACAGGCAACCCCAACCCCAAAGGAGTCATCAGCTCTGATCTGTAACCCTCTCAACACCCCATGAGGTAGATCAGTATTATCACCCCATTGAACAGATGGGGAACTGAGGCGTTGAAAGGAAAGACTTGCCCGAGGCTGGCCCACAAGCGCCCATTACATCTCACTTTTCAGTCACGTCGGTGCAGCCAGATGAGCACCGTCGCTCACCTGGAGTAACTGGAAGAGCCTGCACATACCACCTGCCTCTGAAGACTGCCTTAGTGCCATTTTGAAAATTAAGTTGCATTTTAAACAGTAAAATTCACTTAGGAAGGGTTGCTGGGCATGGTGGTGCACGCCTGTGATCTCAGCGCTCACAGAGGCAGAGGCAGGTGGATCTCTGTGAGTTCGAGGTCAGCCTGATCTATTGAGTTAGTTCAGGACAGCCAGGGCTACACCGAGAAACCCTGTCTTGAAAAACAAAATAACAAAACAAAGAAATAGGGTTAGCCAGGCGTTGGACACCACACCTTTAGTCCCCGTGTTAGGGAGCCGCAGGCAGATCTCGGAGTTCGAGGCCAGCCTGGTCTACAGGTGAGTCCAGGACAGCCACGGCTACACCAAGAAAACGCTGTCTTAGAGAGAGAGAAAGAGAAAAAGACATTGATTTCTCAGTCTTCTACTGTGCAACCCAGGCTTCCCAAATGCAGAGAGCAGCAGGGTCTTCCCAGGTCAGCAAGCAGCTCTGGGCACCTGAGGCTCGGCAGAGCTGCAGGGCACAGTCTAGGGCTGCCTGGCATTCCTCCTGACACCTAAAGGCAGCAGCTCTGCCATAGCCGGCCTCACCCCACCCAAGCGCTTAAGGACAGAGTGATGGCTTCTCCTGCTGCCAGATACAACTCATAACACAGAAAGGAAAACAGAGACAAACCACCAAACAAAGCAGCTGACACCCTTCCCACCCCTTGGAATTCTAGTGAGAAATCATTATGTTGCTCTCCTAAAACTACTGGGGTGGGGGGCACTGCCAAGCTGGTTGAGAATCAAACCCTCAGGCTACTGGAACCTGGAAAACGCACTCTGAAAAAAAAAAAAAACCTGCACTCTGAAAATGCTGTAACATAAAGGAAACTATCTTCTTAGTTCTCAAAAGACTTTCAGAGCAGGACACGCCCCTCTTCCCACAGCCTTCACGGCAGCCAGTACAGAACTCTCCACGAACCAAGAACTCAAAGGATGACAACAGGAACACACCAGCACAAAGCTCGCCAGGAACAGCCTAAGACTTTTCTATGTACATGCTCCACTTACCTGATTAGACTAGACAAACGAACGCAGATGGTGATAAAATTCAAGGTTGCTGCTTTAGCAACGACAGCTCAGATTCAGTGTGTCTGGGACCCTCCCTAACGGAACACTCTGAGCTAAGAATATGTAGCTCAGTAGTAGAGCGCTTGTCTAGTGTACAAGGCCCTGACTTCAATTCTCTCTCACCCACCCACACTACCATGAATGCATGTACCCCTCACGATACCAGTGCACAGGCTGAGGCAGGAGGACTGTAGGCACCAGGGCCAGCCTGGGATACTAAAACAAAACAAAAAAGCTCTTTACAAGTGAAACTACCCGTTTGGGCTTCGACCAACTGTTAGGGTCATACTTGCCAAAGACCATTACCAAAACAAGAGGATGATAAAAAGTTCATTGCATTCAATTTGGCATAATTTCTTGATAATAGTTTCCTATTAGATTTTCCGATTAATACTGATGGCTTTTGCTTAGGCTGCCATAATTAGGTTTTGATCTATTGTGACATTAACGATCACAATCGTTGACTTTGAATTTTTCTTTAATTAATAGCTCCTTCCTTGCCAGCTTCTGCCTCCAGTGCAGGGTCTGCCCCTCCTCCACCACCGTGTTTAATTCCTTCTCTCACTGACCTCGAAGACAACAGCATTGGTGGATTACTTCTTCCCATAAAACAAGACTTTAAAACATATTTCTGACAGGAGCAATAGAGATGATGTTAGGTGAAACGAGGGCCAAGAAGAAAGGCAAGGTAATGAACTGTCACTGCCGGTTAGAGAACCAAAGTCAAGCCTGATGTTCAAGTGGCAATGACAGAAGTAACAAAAACAAGACGAGGTAGATTAAAATTCAAAAAAACTCAGTACAAGCAAAAAAGCAACAAGAAACTTCACATTTTAACTTTCTAGAGCAGTTAATTGAATTCCTGGAAATTCTGACTTCCTAAGTCAGTCAGTTATCCAGGTAGAGCTAAGACCTTTTTCTTGTGCTCTCAAGAGTCAGACTGAGAATCTGAAAACTACTGTTTATCCACTGGGAAGGCTTCATGACACCCATTCCCAGACAGATAAAAGTCTCAAGAGCCAGGTGATGTTCTTTCTGGGGAAGAGTTTACCTAAGCAGCACAGGTGCTGCTTGGAGCCCTCTGGCACTGCTTGAGCAGAGCTACATGTGACCCAGAGGCAGATGCTCAGATATCAGCAGACATTCCCTAAGCTTTCTTTTAACAAAGTCTGTCATTAGTATGTTTGGGCTTTAAAGCCAACCTAACATTTCCCCTTTCCTTCTCCTCCCCTTTCTCCAGAAGGGTGAGAAACTGAAGACTGTGAGCGACAAAGAGGAAACCTACAAAGGACCTGCACCACCACACACAATGGCACCTGCACTACAGGCTGTGCTCTCTACGAGCACAGCTACTTCAGCCATCAGTGCTTTGTGCAGGCCAAACAACGGTCCCAGTGCTCACTTAATCTGCCCTCTCTCGGCAACAACAACATTTCTAATGTTTTCCTTTATTTTCTGCAGTGCTCCCAGTGGCCGGCTAACTCAGCTTATCCAAGACCATAGGTCTTTACCACAGATGAACCAATTAATGGCACCCTCCTCTGTAGGTCCTCCGGTCCCTGTGGGAACCCAGGGCTTTGTGGATGCATTCCCAGCACTCTGCCACTAAACTGCCCACTCAAGACCCATCCTTCCGTACTCTTGACTGCTTGATTCTGCCCCCAAACCAGAAATGTATATGCATGTGTAGTGTTTATTATACAAAACTATGATCAGTTCATCCCACACCATTATCAAAGCTCTCTAGGGGGCAAGGGTGTTTAAACCTTGTATCCTGAGCTGAAAATGTCCGTTGACTGACAAGACTGACATATGCTAACGCTGTGGGAATGTGAGCAGCACAATGTATAAAGTTGGTGGTCACGCAGTTCACTTCTGCTTTTGCGTAAAGCTGGCAAACCTGAGTATCAGAGGGTGAAGCCAGCAAGGGACAGCTAGCACGACACAGGAAAAAAAGACAGAAATTAGTTCCACATTAGAAAGACACTTCAAGGGGTGGGGAGAAGGCTCAGCAGTTGAGACCACTGACAACTCTTCCAGAGGACCAGGATGTGATTCCTAACACCCACCTAGAGGCTCACTTCTATCCCAGGGGATATGATGCCCTCTTCTGGTTGCCTAGGGAGCCAGGCATGCACATGGTGCACAGACATACATGCAGGAAGAAATCCCATGTACATAAAATAAATAACTTTTAAAAAGAGCCTGACATGGTGGCACACACTGATACAAAAAAGAGCCTGAGTTCAAGGCTAGTCTAGGTAGCCTTTTCTTATTTTCCTCTTTCAACAGGGTCTATGTAGCTCTGGCTGGCCTAAAACTCACTGTATAGACCAGGCTAGCCTCCAATTCAGGGATTCACCTACTTCTGCCTCCTAAATATTGGAATTAAAGGTGTGGGACCACCAAACTTAGCCAGAAGTAGACTTTGAAGGCCAAGTTTCATTATAAAAACTTTTAAAAGGGGCAGAGAGGCAGGTATGGTGGCATATACTTATAATCCTAAAGACTGGGAGAGAGAGGCAGGAGATCAAGAATTCAAGGCCATCCTTAGCTTCAAAGTAAATTCAGACTTTGTCTGTAAAACAACAACAAAATGATATGTGGGGATGAAGGGGCATATGAAGATATCAGTTCAGTGGCAGAGCCCTTGCCTGGCATGTCAAAGCTAGCCCTAAGTTCAATTCCAAGTAGCACAAAATTAGTTCTAAAAGAGGATTAACACAAGAGAATATACTCCTGTATTTAGGAGTGTTTTACCTTTGGCCACTAACTTTTTAATGGGAAGAAAGCTCTAGGAAACACTTCTGTCTGAGGCTGTAGTTCTCCAACAGAAACAAGCTACTTGGCACCCACCCATGTAGGAAGCACAAGGGAGTGTCTGGTGTCTTCATATTGAGGACTAAAGATAATACTGGAATCCAGTTCCTTATTCCTACATATAACCAGCAAAAGTACTAAGAAGAAAAGAAGGGTGTTTTGGTAATACTTTGCAGAAAACCAATACATGAACTGAGGACAGAAAAGATGGTGTAGAGTATTAAAATCAGTCAGGGAGCAGTGGCACACACCTTTAATCTCAGCACTCAGAAGGCAGAGGCAGGCAGACCTGAGCTACACAGAGAATATTAGAACCATGGTAAACAGTACAAGACCTTGTTAGACATCACCTGTTATCACAGCAATTATGCACCTTAAGCTTCCCTTGATTTCTTGCATTACAAAGGATTAAGCTCTCAAAGCACATCCTCAGTCCTTTTTACTTTTAATCTTAAGATCGGGTCTCACTAAGTTCCCCAATACACCTTGAATATACAACAGCCCTGAATCAGTCTGGGACTGTATGCTTATGCCACCAGGCCTGGCTTTTTAGGACCAATCTTAATACCAACCATCATTGTTATATTTGCCCACAGGCTAAGATTTTGTTTAAAAAAATGCAGACACTGCAATTTACAAGCTCACGACCACTGACTACTCAGACAGGCTGCCTTTTCCTCCAACTGCCAATCAAGAGGCTCAGATCACCTCAGGAGCTCTGGCTTACATCTGTCCTACTTTCATCTACCCTAATTACTACTATCCTTGGCTGCCTGTGCAACAAATCTGCTTTCTAACCCTCCTTCACTTCTCTGTTACATACAGACAATGGTCACTCACCCAGCACTTGATCTAATTCCTCCAGAGGCCAGCGGACTATGGAGGAAACACCCCCATGAGGTATGGGTGAGGCGCTCTTCCCCACACTGCCACTCACAGCGTCTCCCTGGCTGACTTACAGCAAAGCTGCACTGTCTATCTGCCATGTCACCGCAGCAACAGCTGTCTTCTCTACTGTGCAGCACAACTGCTGACACAATCTCTACAGAGCTCAATCAGCAGCTGGGCAGGAAAGCCACGCTAACGAGTGCTATGAATGGGTCTATGATTTGCATATTATTTGGCTCATCTGAGCCCTGGAGCACTCCATACATCCCTCTCATTACTATGAATAACAGAAAGGGCTGGATGCTCCCACCACACAGCTATGTTTTAAAAATCAAAGGCAACAACAAAAACAGCCTCAGTAGCTGATGAAATCTAGAATTAAGGCTACCTCAGCATTTATTCTTTTTCCTCAACTTAATGCTCAGCTCCAAACCCTGTTGTTTCCTTTAGTCCTGATTCTCTATCCTCAACCATATAAGAAAAAAGAGAAGAAAAGATGGGCATTTCTCAGGAGACAAAAAAGCAGAATAGGGTCAGAAAACTTTCTCAATATACTAGCAAAACCAAGAGTAAACCAAAAAGTAAGTAGTTTGTTCTGAGAAAAGGTTTTGTCAAAAAGACCTGTCACTTTCTGAAGTGATACTCTTCCATAAAAATAAGCTACTACTAAAAGTCTGAGGGTGGAGACAGGGAGGAACATTAATACTTTGAAGACTCGGTGGCAAATCCACAAGTCATGAGACAGTAAAATTAACGAGTTGTTACTGCTGCGAGTACTTAGAAACTGATACTGTGGCTAGTGGCTCCTCTCCAAGACTCTCAACTGAGAATGATGGCGCAGAAGGCCCGTGAGTCCTCTGAGATGTGAATCTGCTATGATGCCTCTTTGGTTACAGGAATGCTTTGGGAGGTTGGCAGGGCTAGAGGGTGCCCAGCACCTTGGCACACCTATATAAATACAGCCTAAATATGGTGAAGGAAATAATTCATACATACCGTGTGACACCAGAGACAACTGTTATCAGCCCCATCCTGTTACCTGCCTGCAGTACAGCTTACAGACTCACAGTTAATCTTGTCCTTTTATGACAAACTGAATCCACCCTACAGAAACAGAATCAGGGACTGACATTAACAAGGCCAGAGAAGCCTGAGGGCTAACCAGAGTGCCTTGTCAAATTTAAATGTAAAGTGCCAAGCCCCCAATAGGACAGAGTTGTTCTGGGAGGGAAACCAAGGACAGACAGGGGTGGCCCAGAAGACCACACCAGGGACCATATATTCTCCTGGCAGAGCTAAAGGAGACTGGAAAAGACACAACAGGTGGGCTGCCACTATTGGCTTCCTAAAAGATGGACAACATCCTTTCTACGCCAGTATGTCAAGACAAAGGCCAGCTGGTCATCAATATATTCTAATAACAATCAAGAAACTGAAGTCACCATCATAATAAAAATTCCCCAGAGTATAAAAAAAAAAAAAAAAAAAAAAAAGCAAGCGACCCTAAAAGATCATGACTCTGAGGTGATGAAAAAGTTACAGGGGAGCAAAAGAAACAGATCAGGGAAAAAGAAGAAACTGTGAGACTAACACAAAGCATGTAAATGCCTAATTTCCACAGTTACACTTATGAATCAGATCATCAGTTATATTACAAGAGAACCAATACCAACATCTCTCCCATGGAGCACAGTGATAAGCACATTTTTTATGGATGTGTTTAGGATGGAAAGGGTGGGAGAGGGAGAGGAAGCAGGAAGGTGAAGGTATTATATACAAAGAGAACTGACAGAGAACACCCCTCCTTTAGCTCTTTGCACTTTCTTTCTCTTTGTTTTCCGCATCCTCTGGGTATGCATGCCACGTCAGTCTCTCTTCATAAAATGCTATCACAATTTGTGGACATTTCACATTAGCTTCTTTTGCAAGAACCAGGTCAGCTTCATCTGTGTCTTTCCTGAAAAGAAAGGATGTAAGACTTAGAAGGAGAAGTGAGTGAGAGAAATCTGTCTGAGTGTCAGTATTTGAATTTAGCTGGCTTGATCTTCTCCGTACACTTTGATCTCAAGGTAAAAAGAATCTTTACAGGGCTGGAGGTATAATTCAGTAGTGGAGCCTCTGTATCTGATCTTTAGCATAAAAAAAACAAAACCAACAACAACAAAGAAAGAGCAGAAGAGTGGCTGTTCTGACAGAGGACCCAGGCTCAGTCCCCAGCAAATATATGGCACCACACACTGCCTGGAATGTCAGTTCCAGGGGATCCAATACCCTCTTCTAGCCTCTGGAGGCATATATGCAAGGCAAAACACATACACATAGAATAAAAAATAAATCTTAAAAGAAAAAGGGAAGGGAAGGGAAGGGAAGGAAATAGGGGAGAGGAAAAAAGCCAGTCAGGAATGGTGAGTACATGCCTGTAACCCTGTTAACTCCAGTCCTAGGGAAATGGAGACAGGACAGTGAGTTCAGTGCCCTGTACAACACATCTTATCCTTGTGTTGGCTTAAATGAGAAATGTCCCCACAGTCTTGGGCATCCAAACAGTCTTGGTCCTCAGTTGGTGGTTCTGTTTAGGGAGGTTTTTGTGGTATGTCATGGGAGTTGGGGGGAGGAAAAAGCCTCACTTGTTTTCAGGTTGTACTCTCTGCTTCAGCTTGAGCCACATGAGACCCTGTCAGGAAAGGAGGGAGGGAGGAAGGGGCAGTGCTTCATTTTCTTCTAGAAGTCACTATCTCTGATAAAGAATTTTGTGCTTTATTTAGCATCAAGCTTGATGCCTTGTTGAAATTAATTTCCCTTTTAGACATCATTCAGCAGCCCTGACTCTCAGTGATGCAAGAAGCTTCATTCAGCTCTTACCCCGCAGTCACAGGCTCATGAGCTTACAGTAAATAATTCAGTTCTATGCAAACAGATGTTTAGGTAGTAGTTATACATTTTGTACCCCAAATTTGTTTTTCTGATATGTAGGTTACTCTAATGTGACACCAAAGCTTGAGAAATGTCACAAACCCATTCTTAACCATAATATCCACTTAATACTGACACTGGAGTTGGCTAAGGATTAAATTTAGGAATTCTCAGTTTTACATTCTTTCTTCATAGCAAAACCACAACTGTGAAGTGAAGCATAACCTCGCTCACCATTTCATTAAGAACATTAAGTCGCCACATGAATCTGTTGCCCCAATGATCTTTTCTGGCTCCAGCCCTCTCTCAAAGCCGCGGGCGATATCACTGCTCTGCTACAAACAGAACAGAAGAGATTAGTGTAAAAACCACCAAAAACAAAAACAAAACTGGTTTCTCAGAATAACAAATCATAGCCTTGTTAACATTACTCGATACCATTTGTCATCAATTTAGAAAAATCCTTAGAACTCTAGAAATATAACTGACTGATCTACAGCAACCAGGGACAGCAATGTTGAGATATTTTGCCAAGAAGATGTAGCCGTCTTTCCTGTTATTCCATGCAAATGATAAGGACCCCTAAAAGTCTGTGGCACCCTGTGAATCTCTGGAGAATCATCTGGGCCTCCTTCTGCTGGCACTTTACTCGCAGAATCTGTGCAGTACCACAAGCCAACGCTCTCCTCCTGTTCCTGAGACACAAGCCTGTTTCCATTCTCATCTCCCGATACGCTTTCCCAACCATACCCTTTTAGAACTTCTAATTCATCCTCACAATGACCAACAGTTTTAATATTTCACAGAGTCGTCTATATTTTGAAAAGCAGAGGTAAGAAGGATGCAAGACCAATACTCTAAAAAAGGCAAATCACAAACATTAGTTTGCATATGACTTGGGTGAAGAGCCTCTGGTCTGCTTAGACACACTATTAACATTGACTGGGCCTGAGACCTCAAGCTGACAACTCATGAGAGGGCTGGGACTTGGTCTCAGGTAATCATGTGATCTACATACAGCAGAAGCTGATCCAGGTGTGATAGCACTGCTCAGAATAAAAAGTCTTATTTTATACATATCATAATTTTTCTAAAATTTTCAGGAGATGAAGCAAGCTCATTCATCAGCGGTTAAGAGCACTGTCTGTTCTTCCAAAGGACCTGAGTTCAATTCCCAACAACCACATGGTGGCTCACAACCATCTATAGTGAGATCTGCTGCCCTCTTCTGGCAGGCAGACACAAATGCCTGCAGTATATTGTAGAAACAAACAAACAAGCAAATAAATAAATAAATCCTTAAAAAAAAAGAAGATTTAACAAATGAGCCAAATCCCAACCCTTTCTGATCATCTTGACTTCCTTTGAGATAGAAAAGCAGGCCACTCAGTGGGCAAAGGGGCTCATAGGGAAGCCTGACAATCCAAGTTTGATCCCTGGGACTCACATGGTAGGTAGAGTATCAACTCCTACATATTCCTTGACTAACCTATACAAGTCTATAACCCCCCAAACAAACAAACAAAGATTTTCATTAAAAAAAAAAAAAAAAAACAAGAAAGCTTGCACAGTCCTGGTGGTCCCCAAAGATACCAGAACTCACAACAGGAAAGAAATTCTAGTCATGGATCAATGGAAAGATACTGACTTTTTAAGACAGCCTCTTTGGGGCATTTAAGAGGAATAGGTTCCCAGATGCAAACACAGCTGCTCACAGCTGGAATTCTGGCATAGGGACTAAGTTATACATCATTTTTGGCAGCTGGAAATAGTCTGCTATATAGGGAGGGTAACGGGGGAATGAAAAAAGAATGTTCAAGCTGCTGAAAGGAGCTGAGGCAAGAAAAACACTAAAATCATCACCGGCAGTAATCTTAAATCAGGCATAAAACCAACTAAGAAATTCCTTCTGCAGCGGTCTAAAGAAATGCCATCTCCACCACACCTTGACAACACATGACTCTACCTATCATGCCAGTTGTCTCCTGACAGCTGCCAGTACTGCTGAGAATGCTATCAAGGGCCCAGACAAACGTAACGTAAATGATGTCGGGAGGTTGTTTTCAAGGTCAGCAGCTCCAAAACCTGGACATGAATCCTCTAAGTGGCCAGGGACCCAAAGCCAGATGACTACCTTTAAAAGAACAAAGACCCTAAATGGAAGAAATGTTTACTCTCTCTCTCACAGTCTTTGGTTGTATTATTTGCTATTTTATTTAATTTAACTAAAAGGGAAACAAACAACAAAACCTAGAATACAAAAAGCTAACAGGGAAATCAAAGTGCCTACTAACCAAGCTTCAAGGTTGGACTCAAACTCCCCAGGCCTGCCTGGTAGAGGAAGATACCTGGCTGTTTCCAAGTTGTTTCCTACCCTCCACACATGTGCACTGACGTGCATGCTCCAACACATGCAAAATAACAACATGTGTTACAATTTATAAATAAAAATTTTTCAGACCAATCAAAGCTTCACAGTGAGACCCTATCTCAAAACAGACAAAAAACATACACAAAACCCAAAAGTCCTCAGAAAATGGAAAGTGTTCCTTAAATTCTTTATCAATACGGTGTATCATAAGGATATTCAGACCTTTTCAGAAAGGTGGCATAAGGTTACAGGTGGGTGTGCTGGCCCAAGTCTTTAATCCCAGTGCTCAGGAGGCAGAGACAGGAGGATCTCTGTGAGTTAAAAGGTCAGGCTGGTCTACACAGCAAGCTCTAACAGAGCCATGACTACATGAAGAGACCCTGTCTCATCAAACAACCAAAAAAAAAAAAAGGTTGTAAAAATAAAATTAACAAGAGAAAGGAGTCAGACAGGAACAGCCCCATAGAGACAAAGAATTATATACAAGCCTTTATAAATCACAGTGCTTCAGTTTGCTCACAGAAACTCTCATTTAACTGGTATAAGGTTCATCTCGGGTCCTGGAGATTTTTTAAAAATACCTGCTGAGTAGTTCTGAGGTGTAGTCACAGCTGAGAGGAACAGTGGAGAAAAATGGACACCTAAATATAATGCAGATAAACAGGGAACTGAGGCAGGAATACTACACACTTATACTTTCTTCTTTATTAAATTTAAGTACATGATATGTTCTACATAGGCTACATGACCTGGAAATAAATGGAGAGAGGGAAAGCTGGAGGTGTTTGTGTAACATATACACACAGCAAAGATGCAGAAGAAAAAAGTAATACGACATTTACGTTAAGGAAAAGCAACTGAATCAAACCAAACTTCATAATTAGTTTCCAAACCAAACAATAAAGAGACACAAAAGAAAATGAAAATTCTTTTCCTCCTCAGGGTATATAACTGGAAGAAAAATGAGTGAAAATAGCCAGATATGGTGACACATGCCTAAAATCCCACCACTCAGAAGCCTGAGGTACAAGGGAAAGCCCCAGGCTAGGCAGAAATACAATGTGAGTTCAAGGTCAGTACAATTATGAAGTATGACCTTTACCTCCAAAGAACAGAGAGAGCTGGGGATATAGTTCAGTGATCTAAGTTCTTGTCTAATATACAGAAAGTTCTGAGTTCAATCCCTAGCACAGCATAAGACATAAACGCCTGCAGGCACAGGACCACCATCTCAGCACACATAGCAAACCTGAGAGCAGACATAGACATGTGTGACTCTGTCTTAAGACAGCAGAAGCCTAAGAGAAAGACAGATCCCTGAAGCTCGGAAGCCAGCAAACCTAGGTGAATCAAGGAACACTGAAGACAGAAACCACACACATGTGAATATGTGTACATATACTAGCATACACATATTCACAAGTAAATAAACTAGACATATAAAACATATCAAACAAAAATAGTATACAGAAAAGACAACAAAGAGCGAAGCAGTAAACATCTCAGGTTTTCTGAATGTTATTTATTGCTCTTATTATTATTAGGGCGTTCACATGGGCAGGTGCATGTAGAGGTCTAAGGTCAACTTAGGAGTGAGTTTTCTCCTTCTGCAATGAGGTAGGATTTGAACTTCAGGCTTGACAACAGGTACCTTTACTCCTGAGCTAACTCCTTAGCCACTTTTCTTTCTTTTAAAAGAAAAACTTGAAAGTGTCTTCCTCTTGGTGCTACAGTGTTGGCTCAATGGCTACAAGAGCTTGACATTCTTCTGGAGAACCTAACTTTGGTTCCCAGCACTCATTTTAGGAAACTCACAACAGCCTGAAACTCTGGCTGCAGGGAACCCAACACCTTCAGGCCTCCCTCAGGCAACAACACACAAGACACATATTCATACATATTTCTATTCACAGAGGAGGCAGAGTGGATTGCATTTCACATTAGTTTTGACACTTTAAACACAATTAGTGCTACGCCAGTTCTCACTCAAGCAGAAAGGGTTGCTGTAGCTAATCAATACACTTCCCTAGAGGCTGCTGCTCAACAGTAAACCTTGAAGTCCACCCTTAAGAACAGTGGGAGAAGGGAGAAGCTTACCTCCCTCTTCTTTTTAGATTTTATATCATCGGCACTGCTGGAGAAACTGGATTTCCTCTTATTTCCTTCTGACTTCTCCCTGGGCTTGTTGTTTTCACCCTCCTTCATCTTCTTATACTTTTTCATAAACTCAGAAATTAGTTCAGGACAATCCAAGTTCTTCTCAGGTTCCCAAGTATTGTGCTCCCTGGACAGTAACAATAAAAACAAAAGGAAAAGACAGAGGGATGATGATAATTCCGTATTTTTATACCATTCCTGCAGAACCTAAGACTGACAAGTGCTAGGAAGCGACATCCTCAACCCCTTTCAATGCTAGTGTTTTTTTAAAGAGGACATGTAATCAAAGGCTGGGCATTCTACACTTAAGTACTGAACGAGAGGCCTGAGGTGTACTTCAGCAGTAAGGTACTAGCACAGATAATGCCACAGTCTTGATCTCTAGCTCTCCAACAAATCTGATCTTCTTGGGAAAAAGCATATCCGTACAAAGCCACGTGAAGAATTACTACTTTGCAGGGCTGGGGATCAAACCCCAAACCAGGGTTTTATGTCTGTCCCACAACAGAGCTACACCTTTAGCACTGTATCAACATTTAGTATCCAAAACAAACCTGAATGTTCAACTAATGAATAAATAAAATTATATTAAGCAACAAAAGGAAACAAAATACAACTTGAGAAAAATCTCAAATGGTACACTGAGTTAAAAAAATGAATATGCTGAGTACTGAGTTAAAAAAAAAAAGTCACAATAAAAGATATGCTTTCTTTCTCTTTTATTTTGCTTTTGTTTTCGAGACAGGGTTTCTCTGTGTAGCCTTTGCTGTCCTAGACTCGCTTTGTAGACCAAGCTGGCCTGGAACACACAATGATCCACCTGCCTCTGCCCCAGAGTGCTGGGATCACCACATGCCCGGCTATACTTTCTTTCTGATTCCATTTCTCTGGCGTGCCCTGTCAAGATATATTTTAGATTAGGCTGGGAAAATATTCTGAAACGGGAGTGTGGTTAACAGTTTCACAACTTTGGTCAATAAATATTGACCAAAGCCGAATCGAGCCAGGCACGGTGGTGCACGCTTTTAATCCCGCACTGGGGAAGCAGAGACAGAACTCAAGCTACTCTGGTCTACAAAGTGAGTCCATAACAGTCAGAGCTACACAGAGGAACCCTGTCTCAAACAAAACAAAAAGACCTTCTCCCAAAGAACAAAACAAAAAACACCAAATTGTACAATCCCAGTGGGTGACTTTTGTGTGTGTGTGGGGGGGGGGGCTGACCTGAAACTCACTCTGTGGACCAGGCTGGCCTTGAACTCAAGAGATCTGCCTGCCTCTCTGGTACTTGGACTAAAGTCATGCACCACTACCATTTGGTGACTCTTATGGTACATAAAATTATACCTTAATAAACCTGTTTAAACTACCAATTTTGGGGCTGGAGATTGCTCAGTGGTTAAGGGTACTGGTTACTCTTGCAGATCTGAACATCTATAATTCCAGTTCCAGGGACTCCAATGCCCTCTGGCCTCCACAGGCACCTGCACAGCATTCATATACTCCCACAAAGACAGATACACATACATAATTTCTTTAAAAAAAATTAGCAGGCAGTGATGACACATGCCTTTAATCCCAGCACTTAGGAAGCAGAGGCCAGTCTGGTCTAAAGAGCCAGTTCTAGGGCAGCCAGAACTTGGCTGAAACAAACAAAAAACTAAAATAATAATAAATAAATAAATAAATAAATAAATAAATAAATAAATCTTTGTAAACAAACCCCATCTAGAAGCTGGGTATAGAGCTCAGTGTAAGAGTGCTTGTCCAGATATAAGCAAGGCTCCATCGGTTTAATTCCCAGCACATCTTTTCTCTATCAAAAAAACCCCCAAATTTAAATGCTTAATTAAGTGCCAAGAGTGTGATTTTATACAATCAGTTGCCTGTATAAAAAGGATAACTTAGTAAGTCATATACCTCTATAATCTTCCTTTTCTTTTTTTTTTTTTTTTTTTTTTTTTTTTTTTTTTTTTTGAGACAGGATTTCTCTGTGTGGCACTAGATATCCTGAAACTCACTATAAAGAAAAGGCTGGCTTTGAACTCCCAGAGATCTGCCTGCTTCTGCCTCTGGAGTGCTGAGATTAAAGGCGTGCGCCACCGTGCCCAGCAACACCTTCCACTTCTATCATCCTGGATTCGGTCTATATACTCTAGCAAGTAGAAGCTGGAGTGCATTAACTCAAATGTGACAGACTCAAGTCTACTGTTACCAAGTTCTGTGTGAAATCTGAAATAACTGGACCTAACAAAACTCAAAACAGTAATCCCTATAATGTATAAAGTAAGTTTTGTTTTGTCTTTTTTTGGGGAAGAAGGTCTCATGTAGCCCAGGCTGGCCTCAAACTCTATGTAGTCAAGGATAGCTTTGAACTTCTAATTCTCAGCCCTCTCTCCCTCCAGAACACTGGGATCACAGGCTTGTGCCACCATGCCTCCTTTAGTCGGTACTGGAAACTCAGCCCAGTGCTGTGTATCCTATACAAGCACTCCACCAACTAAAACACATTCCCAGTCTTCTCCCTGGGTTTCTATTTTTTTCCTTTCACCCAAAAGTCACTGGAACTTGCTAGGTAGACCAGGATTTCCTCTAACAGTGTCTCTGCCTCTCAGAGTGCTAAGATTAATAATGGTCATGCCACCACACCCAGCTTCTCACTGGGTTTAAAGACAAGAGTCCTATTATGTAGCCAGGCTGGTTTTGAACTCTCTGAAATCCTCTTGCCTCAGCCTTGCATTACAGCCTAGATTACAGGAATGAACCAATATGTCTGTCTGAATTTTGATATTGTATGTTTGTACCATGGGTTTTAGAAAATTAAAAATACACAATGTTTTGGAATTAAAGCAATAAAATGTACCTACAAAGAAAAAAAAACTTTACCATCATCCCTTCCCCCATCCAGAGGTAAAGCTCTGATAGAGTAAGCACTAGGTTTTGGGTTGATTTGTGTTTATATACATATAACACACCTGTGACCTGTAATGATTCACCGTAGAAAAAAAAAAAAAAAGGTCAATAAGCCGCACAAGCATCATCCCTTAACCTGCAATTAGCTTGAGGGGGCACTGTTGAAATTAACTCTAGGGTCTTACGGCCAGGTGAGCTGGCTTGTGAGGTTTCAGAGGGAACAAAGACGCCACTGGGCTGTGTGTGGCATTTTGGGTTAAGAATCCATGGAAGCCAACTTCCTGCTCGTCAACCTTCTGGGAAGTATTTACTCAGGGTCAGCACACAAAGGCTCAGTCAGTAGCGGGCCAAGGCTGAACATCAATGGCAGAAATGGGCAATATCAGATCTCCCATATACAGGTTTTGAAGGTACAAGAGACCTCCCAGGAAGAGCAGCAAGGCCTGGTACCAAGGGCAAGGATAAAGTTCCTGCAGAGAGGCCATCTATGAAGGTGCACCGCAAGTGCAGCGGCAACCCCAGGATACTGGAGATGGAGGGACAATGGCAGGTGTTTAGCAGAGCTGGCCTGAACCTAGCAGACAAGCTAGATATGTGGCTGATGGCAGCTCCAGAAAAGCAGGACTGCCTAAATCCCATGGAGCTCAGAAGATCGTGAACAAGTCCAGAATGTCAGACTTGGAATTACATGGCTGGACTTTGCTTTTGCTTAAGTAGGAGCAGTTTTTATACCCTGGTTCTGTTATCGAGGAACAGAAGTATTTAACTCGTTTTTGATTTTACAGAAGCCCTCAGTTAAGACCTTGAACTTATTTATTTTTATTATTATTATCATTATTTTGTTTTTTGAGATAGGGTTCCGGCTGTCCTGGAACTCACTATGCAGACCAGGCTGGCCTGGAAGTCAGACATTTGCTTGCCTCTGCCTCCAACGCGCTGGGACTAGAGGCATGTGCCACCACACCTGGCATAGATATTTTTAAAGGAACATGAACAGACCTGGAGACATGGATAAGAACACTGGCTGCTCTTCCAGAGGACCTGGGTTCAATTACCAGCACACACAGCAACCCACAACTGTCTGTAATTCTATAACACAAAATCTGACAGCCTCTGTGGTTACTGGGTCACCAGGCATGTATATAGTACCCAGACATACATGAAAATACCCATATATACACAATTAAAAAAAAAAAAAATAGAAGACCTTGAAATTTCAAAGTGTTGAAATTTTTAATTTTCGAAGAATACGGGACTTTAAAAGTCAGGCTGTGTTTGTGTGTGCGTGCATGCGTGTGCACGTGTGTATGTGTGTTTTTGAGACAGAGTGGAACTCACTCTGTAGACAAGGGTGGCCTAGAACTCAGGAGATCCATCTGCCTCTGCCTCCTGAGTGCTGGAAAAAAAGCCAGTACCACCACCACCTGGCCTTAACTGTTTTTTATACTGTGATATTAACATGAGATCTTGGGGACAACAAAAGGTTATATACTTGCTTTTCAAATTGACAAGGAACAGACCTGTGATAGCTCTCTTGATTGTCAACTTAACACACCTGGAAAGAGGTAACTTCAGTTGAAGAGCTTCTATCAGACTGACCTGTGAGCAAGACTGTGGGACATTCTTTTGGTTGTTAACTGACATATAGGGCCCTGCCCAAGGTGCTCAGCAACATCCCAGAAGCTGGTGCGTGTGAGCTGTATTGAGTAGATGGCAGCCAGGCCTGGTGGTACACGCCTTCAATCTCAGCACTCCAGAGGCTGGGGCAGGGAGATCTGAGTTAAAAGCTAGCCTGGTCTACATAGAAAGTTACAGGACAGCCAGACTACATAGAAAAACCCTGTCTCAAAACAAACAAACAAAAACAAAAGGTTAATCAAAAGCAGCTGACAGCGAGCCTGGGAGCAAGCCAGTAAACAGCACCCCTCCACTCCCTACTCAAGTTCCGCTGTAACTCCTCCAACCATAGAATGTGTGCAGCACTCAAGAGGGGATCAACCCTTTCCCCTCACAATGCTTTTGGTCACAGCGACAGAGAACAAGCTACAACCCAACTTGTATCATCACAGCAAGACAGGGAGACACAGGCCAGGCAATGGTGGTGCACCCCTTTAATCCCAACACTCTAAAAGCAAAAGCAAAACAATCTCTGAAGCCAGCCTGATCTACAGAGCGAGTTCCAGGACAGCCAGAGCTATGCTGAGAAACCCTGTCTTGAAGACAAAGACAAAAAAAAAAAAAAAGTTGGTACATTATAGGTTGAGACCATTCATCTTTATAATAGTATTTGTTATAATTAATCTCTAGTTGTTTTTTATTTTTTAAATTTTTTAATATTTGATTGTTTTTTTCAGGACAGGATTTCTCTGTGTAGCCCTGGTTGTTCTGTGCTCTCTTTGTAGACCAGGCTGGCCTCCAACTCAGAGATCTGCCTCCCAAGTGCTGGGATCAAAGGCGTGTGCCACTCAGCCCAGTCCATCAATTGTTTTTTAAACAAAAATAAAATTATTTTGTATAAAAGTATTTTGCCTGCATGCATTCCTTGACCTCCTAATCCTCCTCAACTCTTCCTGCTGACAGCTAGGTTTACCCAGTGTATGCCGTGCTAGGGATTAAATCCAAATTTTTATGGATGCTACAAAAGCACCCTACTAACTAAGCAAACTCCTAGTCCCTGTTGTTGACCTTGTACTTCAGCTACAAGCTATCTATGACATAGGAATAAGCGACTAGGTACTTACTCTCTTGCACACAATGCTCAGGGAAGAGAAAAAAATTTGTTCCAGCCTTTAATGAAATCCCAGGCATTTTTTTCCTTAATAAGATTGTATTTGCTGATGACATGGCGAACAACTTTTGGAGGTAGAGGCAGATATATCGCTGTGAGTTCCAGACTAGCTTGGTCTATATAGTGAGTTCCAGGACAGCCAGAGCTACATAGTCAGACCCTGTCTTGGAAAAAAAAAAAAAAAATATTTTACTATATTGTAAAAATGTTTATGGAGGAGGCTATAATAGGACATCAGATTCTCTGGAACTAGAGACACAGGCCATTGTGAACTGTGGGACAAGGGTACTGGGAACCTAACTAGAGTCTATGAAAGAGCAGGAAGTACTCATAACTGCTGAGCCATATCTCCAGTCCCAATACCAGACATTTATGACAATGCTTAATCTACCTACCTTAACTTTGCCTTTCACCTCTGAATCTAGATTAAGTACCAAAAATTCAAACAGCTTTCAGCACCTTTCAAATGGTGATTCAATAAGCCTAAGGTCAACTTGGAATTCAAGTATTATTTACATTACTATTTCATAGGACTTTCCTGTCTCTCACTCATTTCGATGGTTTTCATACCTGGTAAGCAGTGCTGTCATTCCTCTTTAGAAATACGGTGATGATGTGCCTGGAGAGATGGCTCAGAAGTTAAGAGCACTGGCTGCTCTTCCAGAGATCATGAGTTTAATTCCCAGAAACCACATGGTGGCTTACAACCATCTATAATGAAATCTGGTGCCTTCTTGTGGCATGCAGGCGTACAGGAAAACACAACATTGTATACATAATAAATAATAAATCTTAAAAAAAAAAAAAAAGAAAAGAAAATAGAAATACAGTGATGAAGCAGAGCTCCGGGTGTAGCTCAGCTGGGAAGAGTTCTTGCCTAGATACACAAAGTGCTACAAAAACCAGTATGGTAGGCCAGAATCACAGTACTGGCTAGAGGCTAGAGGCCAATTAGCCTCAAGACAGTGAATACAACCAAACCAAGAGACCTTAACTCATACAAGGTGAAAGTGACCTGCCCTGTACAATTAAAAACAACAAGCGGAACAGAGGAAGGCAGATCTCTGAGTTAGAAGCCAGCCTGGTCTACGGAGTGAGTCTAGGACAGCCAGGGCTACACAGAGAAACCCTGTCTCAAAAAAACAAAACAAAAAAGAAAGAGAGAAAGAGAAAGGAAGGAAGGAAAAAAGGAGGGAGGGAGAGAGAGAGGGAAGGAAAGGAAGGAAGGAAGGAAGGAAGGAAGGAAGGAAGGAAGGAAGGAAGGAATTCCAGCCCAGCCAGGGCTAAGGGGCTTACACAGTGTGCCTTTAATCCTAGAACTCTGGAGGCAGGCAGATCTTGGTGAATTCCAGGATAGCCAGGGCTACATACCCCATCTCAAAAAAGTCAGGGTCCAGGTTGGGCTGGACCAATGGCAATGGCTCAGTGGTTAAGAACACTTGCTGCCCTTCCAGAAGACCTGTGTTTGTTCCCAACACTCACATGGTGGCTCAGTCATATCCATCTGTAACTCCTGTTCTAGGGGATCCAGTGCCCTCTCCTGAACTCAGTACCAGGCATGCACATGTGCTGCACATAAACACATACAAGCAAAACACTTATACACATAAAAATCTTTAAAAAATTCTACATTTTCATAAAATATTTATAGTTGCTTCTGTCATATGTACTTTCAGATGCATTCAGTTTCTGTACTTCATAGGAACTCTATAAATGCCCTGGGCAATTAAGTCTGTGCAGTCCATACTGAAAGGGCAAGACTTGAGAAGAACGAGACTGTTGACAGTTTAGATGAGCAAAGGACCCTCGTGCAGGATTTCAGTGGATGATTGTGCATTCCAGACCCTGGAATCACAGGAGCAATACTGACAATAAATTGAGACAACACTGAGTCCTTTATCTACATGATGAGCTGAAAAGTAACAGTCTAATTAGACAGCAGGAAAAAGGGAACAGGTGGGGGCCTCCATGTCAATTTACCTGTTTAAAGCCATGGTAACAGTGGCCATATCCTCCCTTCTTTTGAGATGGTATGGTCCCACTATATGGCCAAGGCTGGCCTGAAACTCACAGCCTAAAACTTAGCCTCCCAAGTGCTGGATTATGCTCAGCTCACTCTCCTTTTCTAGAAACATGTTCCAACATTCCAAGATCTCTGCTCTTCCACCTTGCATACCAAGATGAACAGTTTAATGAACAGAACAAAACAAACTAAACATAAATAAAAGCACTTTTGCCGTTAAGATCAAAGTACCACCACTTTGGTAATATAGGTAGCCATGGTAATATAATATAGCCATGGCAAGAGGATTCCAGGCTGGATAAAATCACCTGGAAATGGGCTTCTCCCCAGGAGTGACCAGTAAGTGGGATGCTAACCAAAAAAATTAAGAGGTGCTATTGAGGGCAGGGAGGCTGGAGAGATGACTCAGAGGTTAAGAGCACTGGCTGCTCTTCCAGAGGTCCTAAATTCAATTCCCAGCAACCACATGGTGCCCTCATGAGATCTGGTGCCCTCTTCTGGTGTGCAGGTATACATGCAGACAGAACATTGTATACATACATACATACATACATACATAAATCTTCCCCCCCCAAAACAGAGAGGTGTGATGGGGTCAGTCAGGATCCAGCAGCCTGGAATAGAGCCATCGGAAAAAGCTATTGTCCGAGTTGCTTTCTGGACTTCCTGCTCTCAGACACCTACCCCTCACAACATGCACATCCAATCCCCTGGCTTTTACAAAATACAAAAACAAACAAACAAAAAAACACCCCCCCCCAATTAATTAACAAAGAAAAAGACACTTTTATTGATCTGTTAGTTATAATCTGGCCATGATACAGGCCTTTAATCTCAGCCCTGGCCTGGAACCTACAGAGATCCATCTGCCTCTGAGAGAACTGGAATTAAAACACTGACTTCTTTTACTAAATCTCTTAATGTGTTGCATGTGAGTGTGGGTGTATATAACTGGAGGTCAGAGACCACCTCAGCTGTTGGTCTCTGCCTTCTGCCTTGTTTGAATAGGGTCCCTTATTCATTGCTATGTCTGCTATGCATGCCCGGCTGGTTGTCCCTCAGACTCCCCAGGATTCTCCTGTCTGTCTCCCAGCCCAGTGTTTCACTGCTGAGAGAAATGTGTGTGTGTGTGTACACTGGTTCTGGTGGTCTCAATTCACATATTCACACTTTCAATGGCAAGTGGTCTACCTCCACTCACTGAGCCCTCTAAGTCCTATGTCTTATCACTGTTTTTTCTTTGTTTTCCCCAGCACACCAGAGGGTCAAACAAGGACCCTAAGAGCACTGGGCAAAAGCACTGCACTACTAAGCTACACCCATCAACCTATTGCTCCTACTTCATTAAGGTGAGTAGGAAAGGGGTTATGCAATTAGCCAGTGGGTCGGAGAAATGGCTCAGCATTTAAGAGTACTGTCTGTTCTCCCAGAGAACTGTGGTCTGACTTACAGCACCCAAATGGCAACTTACAGCCATCTATAACTTCCTAACTCCTGTTGTAGCTGATGTGATGCCCTCTTCTGGACTGTGGGCAAAAGCAAAAGAAAACAAAAGCCTAAAGACGAAAGGACTCACTCCGAAAAGCCTTTCCACTTCAGCAGATATTCCACCTGCCCCTTGACCACGCGCCTGTCCAACACCTTTTCCACCACATATTCCTCCTCGTCCTCGGAAGAAGAGCTGTCGGCTGTCCTCTTGGTTTTCTTCCCCATGTCGCACGTGTTGATCCACCTCAAGGAGTAAGGCCACCAGGGTCCTGAAACGGGGAAAGACCAAATGGTTACAACCCACCTGGAGGTAAAGCCGTCACTTCTGGACGGAACAGAAGGAACAACACGAGTCAGCCATACTCTTCTTTTCGGTCTACGGTTATTCTAAGACAAGTGGTCAATGACTTTAAAAGGTTCAATCCAAAATAATAATAAACTGGGTCAATCCACATTTTCCTAACAACTTCTCTTCAGCTGAAGAAATCAACATCAGAGGAAACAATTGTTTAACTCTTTAATTTTATATTCCAAAAAAGCAAATAGCATTGAGTGCTACTTTCTTCCATTTCTGTATTTACTTGTGAGCCAGGAACTCAAGAGAAATATGGAAAACCTTCAATTAAAGGAACCAAGACAGAATAAAAATATTTTTCTCCAAGGTGAATAAAGGTCTTTATGAAAAAAAAAAAAAAAATGAAAGACCGACCCTTCCCCACAGCCCACCCAAATGTACTTTTCCATTCTGAGCATTTTCTGGTCAGTTTCAGCAGCACACACAATGTCTTCATGGGCCATCTCTCACATTTCCAGTGACTTGGTACATTTCCCTTAAACAATTTGAGTCTGTCCCTTCAGAGAATCCATCAGCAAGGCTGACAGCTCAAACGGACTAAGCCTCCTTTTAGCAAGCTCATTTGGGGATAGAAGGGAAGAAAGGCAGAGAAAAAAAAAAATCAAAATTAGTCGCTGGACTAGTCTGTAATTCCCAGGGCTCAACTAACCCAAACAGTTAAAGAGGTAGCCTGTCTCTTAACTGAAGTTGACTCTGGGCCAAAGAGGTGGGAAAGAAATCTGGCCCCAGACTGCACCAACATGAAGCCTCCTCAGAACACAGGGGACCATTCACCCTCCCCAGGCCCCAAGAAAGCCTGGCAGCAAGGCAGCACGAATGGAAACTGAGTTAAGCTCAGAAATATGCATCAGGGGTGCTCAAGAGAGAATCTAGTATTTAAAATTCCCACATGGCTGTAACCATAATGGTTTCAAAAGAGTTCTTCCTGAACAATGTTAAACGGGACCCACTGTCTGGATTACCAAATAGCAGGAATTGATTCTTTAGCTGACTCCATTGTTATTTTGCTATAATCTCTAAAGATGTTTTTCAGAACATCCCCATCTTGGCCAGAAAGCCAATCTCAGGAATAAAAAGGGCAACTAAACTCAGAATTATGTTCAAGTCAAAGAAGCAGAAGTTGTATTTATCAATTTATTCCTAATTAGTGATTTTAAAGAGACCATTACAGGAATATAGCGCTGAAAATCCTAGCTACAGAACTTATTAGTATGAGCATGGCCGCCTCAAAAACTGCTTGCATTAATTTCTGATGATAACTTTATTTGAGAAAGAAGGCACGGAGGAATGTAGGCAAAGGGTTTTAAAATAATCTTTCTATGAATTTAGAAGACTCCTAGACATCAAAAATATATAGTAAGGTTTATTTAAAACAAACACAGCCTCCGACCTCACCACAGACAGGAAACGTCTTAGTCCAGGGAGAGTACCCCACCCCCACCCCCACTCACCTTGGAATTTCCGGGAGCTGAGCAGTTTAGGTCAGAGCGCTGGGTTAAAACCAGCCCCATGTTGGAAGCATGCAGTTAAGCATTGTGGCTATGGCTTTCCCTGCCTCACCAGGAAAGAAAAGAAAAAAAGATTTACATATGTGTTCTTCAGTTTGAGAAAGAGATTTTTCTTTATGCCTATGCTCAAGAGAAGCCCTCAAAGTAGATCAATAGGGGTTCCCTCCCTTACCTACCGGATCGCCCCAGTTCGTTCTTTCCCTCTGGGCTAACAGGAGGGGCCTCCCCTCCCAGGTCTGGGGCTTGGCGGGCTGGCAGCTCCCCCGCCCCCACCCAGCTGCCTGGGCGCCACTGCGCAGCTGTCCCAGTCCGTTGCCATGGCAACTGGCAGCCGTACTAGACTAAGGAAGAGAGGCAAATGAAAAAGTTAAAAGGCTTAACTTTCCTTTTCACTGCAGACTGGGTGGAGAAGTTGGAAGGTAGACCTCCCTTGGCCTGAAGGCTAACTTTCAGAGCTCAAGGGTGTTAGTTTTTATGTCCAAAATTAAGTTAGTTTTAAAAGTCCAAAATTCAGGCTTATTCCTCCAAAAGCACTGCGAATTGATAACATTTTAGGACCACCTAACACGAGTACAGCTCACTAGAAGAGGGGGAGGAGCAAAAGTAGGCCCTCTCTACAGCAGACCAGGACAAACTATCCTTAATCTAGAAGAATTTTGGACAAAGCCTTTTCCACCCTCTGTCACTGTACAGCTAATTAAAACTGCTTCAGGGAAAGTAACAGAAAAGAGAGAGAAGAAAGTATGCTGATGATAGATACTATGTAACTTCTCATTTGAGAGAATTACAAAAGAACTAGAACCCAAAGACTTGAAACAAAGACAAGGGACCAAGCTTTGTGATTTGGGGAGCTGGATATGGAATCCGGGGCCTTACACAGACTGAGCGCAAAAGAACCATTCAGCTATTACAGATGGAAAAAATTACTTCCTTATTTAAAAAATAAGGGGGAGGCAAGTTGGCCACCAACATTATGGTTAAATTTAAGTATCTTATTAGTTATTCTTGTAATACTATAAAAACAGACTTTTAGTGATTATTACTCCCTGATATATTGCTGATGCACAACTCTTTATAGTAATAATCCCTAATACTCAAGGAAAGGAAGACATAATAATAAAAAAGCAGAGACCATTAAGAGGAAGCAGATCAGGAATTCAAGGTCATGCAAAACTACATAACCAGTTCGAGGCCACCCTGTGTTGCAAGAGATCTAATCTCAGAAGGAAAGAAAGAAAAACCAGGCTTTGATATACACTGTCCTTTCACTTGGCTCTAAAAAAAACATTTTAGAAATCCAAAACTGCATTTGCTTCACATATGAGAACTGAAACTTTTTTGTCGTACCAGTCCTTATGCATGCTAAAGCTGCTTCAATGGGAGAGTAAGGAAAAGGGACATGGCCTAGATAGATGAGTACCTCAATGATTCTGAACACTCCCTGCTTGCAAAAGACCAGGTTCAGGGTTCAGTTCCCAGCACCCACAGGGTAAGTAGCTCACAACCAATCATAACTCCAGTACCATGTGATCTGACATCCTCTCCCGACGTCTGGGGCAACAGGCATGTATGCAGTACATACTCATATACATAAATTAAAAAAAAAAAGGAAAAAAATAAAGAACTCCAAGTCAGCATAGCACAGAGAGACCTCACACCAACATTTATGGCAATGCTATCTATGGCAGCTAAAATACAGAAGCAATCTAAGTGTCCAGCAACAGAGGGATGGCAAAAGAAAATGATTACATACACTATGAAATCTTTTTCAGACAGGAAAAACCAGAGTTACATCAGCTGCAGGAAAACTAGATGTAACTAGATATAATAGTATCTAAAAGCCAGGCTCAGAAAGATAAATTCAGTATGTTCTCTCAATGGCGGCTCCTAGCTACAATGACACATGAAATCATGTATGTAGGACTAAAGCTGTGTAGGGAGAGAAGAGAAACTACAGAGGGGCGAGAAATGAGAGGATAGGAGTGGGTGGAGTGGAATATGCTCAATATACAACATACATGTGTATAAAAGCTTCACAGAAGGCCTGGCTGGCATGGTGGTGCATGTACCCAGCAGACAGGCAGGTGGCCAGTATGGGGGAGGCCCTCTCAGGGAGGGAATGATGGTAATTACGGCTATCGACCAGAAGTACCAGTGTATGAGTTTTGAGGCGAGAGAATGCAACCTAACACACCTGACACGCTGGGCAACTCTACCGACGCACAGTATCCAGTCCGTTTATTTTAGAGAACAGGCCTCTTCAAGTTAGCCAAGAAGTCCTCGAACTTAACCACCTTCCTCAGTCTTCTGGAAGACTTAGTTGGCTTGTATTCATCCAGCAGTGCCTGGCCCTACAGGCAAACTTTTTTATTGCTAGAGATTTCTCAAACTTCAGAAGCTTTTGGGATTTTGCCCTCTCGCCCCCATAAGATAGGATTTGTTTACCTGGCTGTCTTGAAACTCACTATATTTTTGTTTTGTTTTGAAACAGGGTTTCTCTATATAGCTTTGGCTGTCCTCGAACTCTCTCTGTAGATCAGGCTGGCCTAGAACTCACAGAGACCCACCTGCCTCTGCCTCCCAAATGCTGGGATTAGAGGTGTGTTCTGCTGCCACCACCACCCAGAGGAACTCACTACTTAGGCCAGGCTGATCTTGAACTCGAAGATCTGTATCTGTTTGCCTCTGTCTCCTGAGTGATGGGATTAGAGCTATGTACCACTATGCCTAACCACAGATGTTTTAAATCTGTGTGTGTGTGTGTGTGTGTGTGTGTGTGTGTGTGTGTGTGTGTGTCTGTGTGTGTGTGGTGCTTGGATGCCTTTATGCCAGAGTGTGCATATAAAGATCAAAGGACAAGTTTTGGGAGCTGGCTGATTCCTTCCACTATGTGAGTTCCAAACATTGAATGTAGATCGTCAGGCTTGGCAACTGGCAGCAAGCACCTTTACCCAAGCCATTTCCCCAGCCAGCCTGGCAGTGTTCTATTTTACTACCAACACTCAGAAGGTAAAAAGAGAATTATCACAAGTCTGAGGCCATTGTGGGCATCAAGATGGCTCAGCTTGCTGTGCAAGCTTGATCCCTGGGTCCCACACAAAGGTGGGAAAGAGATCACTAACACTACAAAGTCATCTTCTGACCTCTCTACACACTTGCCATGGTATGCATAGCCTGCTACACGTGTGTGTGTGTGTGTGTGTGTGTGTGTGTGTGTGTGTGTGCACGAAACAACAAAAGACAAAATATTCTTGTTATCTACCCTACCCTTATAAAATACTAGGCTCAGATCTATCTCCTGTTCATCTGTAATAGCAGCCGGAAGGGCATGGAAACCAAGGCCCCTTTCTCTATGGAAAATGGGTTTTGCAACAGCTGACAAATCAAATCGGGCCTGGTGCCACGAGTCAGAGTCCAACCATAACATTCTTTAAAGAATGGCATGCAGCTGTCTTATAAATCCCCTGGACAAGTCATAGATCAGAAGCTGGCAAGGATGACGACATAGTTCTGATGGAATGTGTCTTATCTTAACCTTGAAGTTACAGATCTGCTCAGGAGCAGCAGTAAGAAATGAGAAATGCACCCAGACATGGGAGGGGACATAATTCTCTTTCAGACAGTGCAACCCAGTGTATTAGGGTCAAATGAAACACAAAGCCAGGCGGACAATTTAAGGCTAGTGCCTGGATCAGATAAAGCATCAAGACTGGTGTTCAAGCTGAGCCTGGGAGAAAGGAGCATGTGCTCTGAGAAATGAGACACAGCTGGCAGGGTGAGGGGATGATTACAGCAGAGCCCTGATACTACGGCAGAGGAAGAGAGGACAAGCAACCTTATCCTTATGGAAATCTTCATGGGAAAGGGTGAGGAACCTCTCAGGTTTCTGGAGAGCTTTTTCAAGCAAAACAACTTTTAGTCCTCTTTTGAATACCAGTCTCTAGGAAAAACAATATACACCACAGAGTGCAGCAACCAGAGCCCACAGGACTAAGAAAAGAGCAGTACCAACAGACCTTTCTATGAACAACATAAGGCAAATTCATCTTACAGGCTCCTCCGACACAGATGTGGACCCAAGTTAGTCCTGGAAAAACAAAGAACTTTGTGAGCCGGCAGAGTCAGAAGCACATTCCAATCAACTGACAAGGAATGAATCTTCAAAAGACAAGGGGTGGGAGGGAGAAGAGGGCTGCAAAAAGAAGAGAGGAAATGCTGGGCAGTGGTGGTGCACTCAGCTTTATTTCAGCGCTTGGGAGGCAGAAGCAAGTGGATCTCTGTGAGTTCGAGGCCAACCTGGTTTACAAAGCTACTTCCAGGTCAGCCAGAGCTTGGTCAGCAGAGAAACCTTGTCTTGAAACAAACAAACAGAGCTGGGCAATGGGTGCACAAGCATGTGATCCCAGCACTCAGAAGGCAGAGGAGGGGATCTCTATGAGTTTGAGGCCAGCTTGGTCTACAAACCAAGTCCAGGACAGCCAGGGCTACACAGAGAAACTGTCTTGAAAGAACAAAAATAAATTAGCGAACAAATAAACAAACAAAAGCAGCAAAAATCCTCCAGACAGCAAGGCCCAGCTAAAAAGCAGGGAAGTGAAAACATGTGCAAATCTCCCTCTATCACACAACCTAAATATGTTATTGCTCAGAGACTTCAGACTTCCAGGCTTCCGCCCCTCTTCCTCCTTCCCTGACAAGTTCTCTCTATATATAAAGTATGTTGTCCTCCAACTTCCAGGAATCCCCATCTATGCTTCCCTAGTTCTGGGATTACTGGCACACACCATTATAATAAAGAGAAATTGCAATTTCTTCTCTAAAAGCCTTGGGGAAAGACAGTTTAGGGTCATGAGTGCTTGTCTACAGTCCCACTGTACTCGGGAGCTGAAGCAGAAAAACCAGCCTAAGAGGCCAGCCTGGGCCATGGGATAAGGTCTTGTTTCAGGCTCACAGGTGGCTCAGAGATTAAGAGCACTGGATGTTATTCCAAAGGTCCTGAGTTTAATTCCCAGCAACATGGTGGCTCATAACCACCTATGATGAGATCTGGTGGCCTCTTCTGGCCTGCAGGCACACATGCAGGCAGAAAATAATAAATCTAAAAATCTTGTCTCAAAAAACTAAAACGGGGCTGGAGAGATGGCTTAGCGGTTAAGAGCACTGACTACTGTTCCAGAAGTCCTGAGTTCAATTCCCAGCAACCACACGGTGGCTCATAACCACCTGTAATGGAATCTGATGCCCTCTTCTGGTGTGTGT